AAACTAGGAACTATGAAAATGACAAAATTAAGACAATAAACAGGCTCCGTATAGCAGTTAACACTAGGAGAGTGGAAAATGCAGAACAATACTAGAGACCAAACAGGACATAAACATGGAATGGCTTGGTAAAGTAGCTAACACTTGGAGAGTGAAAAACGCTAGACAATACTCGGCAGTGAGAGAGAGGAAGTCCATGGCTTATGTAGCATGTCTGATTGGATTCAGCTGTGTGTGTGTGTGTGTGATCAGTGCATTCAGCTGTGTAATCAGTGCAATGGTTGATGGGAAATGCAGTCCGGGTGATGTGTAACAGTCTGTGTGGTGTGAGAGTCAATGTAATGGGAGAAGGGTGACCTCTGATGGCAAACAGACGGAAGTTCATGGACCGGATTCGTGACAGTGTCTTTCATTCCAACGTAAGAAAACATTTCTGGAGTCTCCATCTGAAATAGCATTTAGATCTATTCACACAGTTTAATGTATCTCAGAGGGGACATGGATGCATTTAACCTGCAGTTACAGATGGATAAATAATGTGTTTTGTTTTTAACAACAGTATATACATTGAATACTGATATTTGCAAAAATACTGCAAAAACATTGTTTTTTTTTTCTTCTTCTTCTTTCTGGTAGCCTAGTTCGGAGGTCTCTTTTGGCCCGTTTTTAACGAAATAAAAATAACTGCTTTATTTATTTAGAAGCAAGGTAATTTAAATTTCATTTTTGTGTTGTAATTTTTATAATTATTTTATTAATCAAAATACAACACCCACAATATAATATTCAGTGTTGAGCTGCCGAAACTCAGAATGCGTGCATGTTGAGGGGCGAGCTGAGAAGCCTACTAATGTCTTCATCCGTTTGCCACAAAACGTTAGTTTTGTTGCAAATGAATTAAGAATTTTATAGTGCTATATCTCAGCTTAATTAAACATAATTATATTGAATACACGGTTTAAAAATCTGTAAAAATATTGCACTGAAATGTGCGCTGAAGGAATTTGCGTATTTTATTTATACCAGTCATGTTTGTGGTTTTTCATCATTATACAGTCTGTTAAAATAAATATTCAGAAACACGTGCAGTGCTACTTTTTTTTTTTTTTTTCTGTTGAACTTTTATTAAACTGCAGATCAAAATAGAATATGCCTATACCCTAAATAAGAATAAATTATATTGGAACACATCTCCAAAATAATCACATACACGGATGCACGTTGCCATTACAGCAGTCAGCGCCGAACAACAGACGAATAAAATATAAACTGAGGTTACAAAAGTGATTCAGTCAAGATCAGTGAGGGATTTTCTATTCTTTTGTTCTTTGATTAACATTATTGACTGGCGGCAGCGGCATCTGTCAATGCATGGATCCAATAAACCCTTGTTTTCTTTCTCAACTCTTTACGTTCACTTAAGACATAACCGATTGTATTTATGGGACATTTTGATGTAAATATGTGTGTATTTGTCCATTCGAATGTGTATGAATGCGAGAAAGAGAACTCAGTCCAGTGTTCGCGTATATAAGAGGCGGCTTTTGTGCGTGCGCTGTGTGTGTGTGTGTGTGTGTGTGTGTGTGTGTGTGGGTGTGCGCGCGCACGCAGCACAGAAAACAGTGCATGAGTGCAGAAGTGAGTTTTATTTCATCATCTTGCAGTTGAATCTTTTGAAATCACAATAAATGTGCATACAAAAATCGAGAAGCAGAATCGAAATGTAATTTTATAACAAGGAATAAAATATAAACTGAGGTTACAAAAGTGATTCAGTCAAGATCAGTGAGGGATTTTCTATTCTTTTGTTCTTTGATTAACATTATTGACTGGCGGCAGCGGCATCTGTCAATGCATGGATCCAATAAACCCTTGTTTTCTTTCTCAACTCTTTACGTTCACTTAAGACATAACCGATTGTATTTATGGGACATTTTGATGTAAATATGTGTGTATTTGTCCATTCGAATGTGTATGAATGCGAGAAAGAGAACTCAGTCCAGTGTTCGCGTATATAAGAGGCGGCTTTTGTGCGTGCGCTTTGTGTGTGTGTGTGTGTGTGTGTGTGTGTGTGTGTGTGTGTGTGTGGGTGTGCGCGCGCACGCAGCACAGAAAACAGTGCATGAGTGCAGAAGTGAGTTTTATTTCATCATCTTGCAGTTGAATCTTTTGAAATCACAATAAATGTGCATACAAAAATCGAGAAGCAGAATCGAAATGTAATTTTATAACAAGTAATTTGATTCCTGACCTTACGCATCTGATCTGATTTCCGAAATTTAAATAGCTTTTCGATTCCCATCCCTCCTACAAAATTATTTCATTCTTGCTTGCATAAAGACCTGTATGGTGACTGTTATCACGTTAGATATACTGTATATCGCACACCCCAGACTCAACTTGAGTGGAAAATGAAATCATCCGCGGTTGTTTGCGCACTTGTTTGCATGAGCAAAGGTGTTTTTAGGAGTCTAACTTGCAAGCGTCAGACCACTGATTCGTAAAAGTTCGTCAAACCTGCTTTCCTGCCGTCCTTGTTCTTTTGACTTCTGACTATTTTGTAGTAAGTAACCAGTGTTGGGCAAGCTACTTGGAAAATGTAGTGAGCTAAGCTAACAGTTGCTCTTCATTAAATTAAGCTTCACTACACTAAAGCTACAGCCCTGTGAAATGTAGCAAGCTAAGCTACAGCAACATGGCAAAAGTAGTTTACTACATCTAAGCATCATTTAAAAAAAAAATTTTTTTTATATTGAACCAACATCATAGCAAGTCAATGCTCTCTCAGTGATCAATAAAACTGTCAGTCAAGCAGATAGACAGGCATAATAGTTCAGGTTAATTGTTTATTCAACAAATGTTCCAAACCAATTTGTCAACAAAAATCAGTATCATGTACAGGGCCGAATTTACCTCATAATGTGACAAAGGCACAATAATTTTTTTGCTGTCGGCCGGAAAGCTCCTATTGGTAGTTGGTATTGTGGCTTTATTGTATACAGATACATTTATATAAAGGGTAACACTTAACAATAAGGTTCATTAGTTAACTAGTGTAGTTAACATGAACTAAGAATGAACAATGTATTGTTCATTGTTCGCTCATGTTAGTTAATACCAGTGGCGAGCGGTGAACTCTTTTAGCTGGGTATGCTGAGTGCTAAGATTAAGATTAAGAGGATCTTGAGAGTTTGGGTGGCATTGCTGTCAATGGACTGAGCCATCGGATTTGACCAAAAATATCTTAATTTGTGTTCTGAAGATGAACGAAGGTATTAGGGGTGTGGAACGACATGAGGGTGAGTAATTAATGACAGAAATTACATTTTTGGTGAACTAACCCTTTAAAAACCCTAACAAGGGGAGCAGTCTCAGAGCTGGAACACAGCTATCCTCAAATAGCAGATTCCTAGACAAAGACTTCAGCACTTACTTGAGAGAACTTGTGACAAGGGGAACTCAACCTAGTCATAGAAGCCAGGCTAGAACACAGCTGCCCTCAGACCGTTGTATAAAAAATTTTAACCCGAAGAGACCCGTAAATGTGCTACACTGAAGAACCGAGAAATGCCAAAAATGTACTACCCGGAACTAACGCGGACCGTCAATTATTTGAAAGATGGACCCGAACCCGGCCGGGAAGACACAGACCCGACTGGACACGATCAGCACATATTCCACAGCAAATTGCTATTAAGAAGTCAATAAACAAGTTGCGAAAATTAAACTTCTTGTCTTACCTAATGTAAGAAGCCTTCTCCCTTGAGAGTTCCATCCATGTTATTCCTCTCTTGCCAATTGAAATGTGTAATCCACTCATTATTCCGGTTTCAAAAGTCCACTTGCTGTCACGGTGACGGATGACAAATGCGACTTTGCAGTTTTGCATTTTTCGTATCTCGAGTCAACTTGCATAATAATTTAGACTGCTTGCCCATTTGGATTATAATAACGATTGCTCGTCCAGTGCCATGGCTGCTGACATTAGCTTTACTTATTTGCTATCATCTCTGTGCTCTCTGAGCCGAGCCTGAGCAAAAATGTAAGATATAACAACAAGACGGTTCATTCATAATATTATTTTAAAAATAATCAATAATAACTCGCATCACTCATGAAGGTATCCATTATCACCGTGCGTGTGCATTAACTCCGCCCACCCTGCTTCTGATGACGTCGCTTGTTTGTTTTTGTTTTTTTCACCTTATTTCAAATTACCGACTCACACTTTTCTCATCCTAATTTTACAAGTTGAAAGTTACAAAACAACACACGCACAGCGTTGACTGACTCTGATAATGACCGGGTGTTCTCCGAGTCCGATCGACTCGGGTATTACACACAATGTTAAACAGACCCGGGACCCGAAGTAATAGTCATTGGGTCTCGGGTCCTCCGTGTAGACCTCTATTTCAGAGCAAAGTAAGTTTGTGCTGGAGCATAACTATCCACAGACAGCTACACCCTGAGCAGGGGTGTTGTGCTGGAGCATAACTATCCACAGACAGCTACACCCTGAGCAGGGGTGTTGTGCTGGAGCATAACTATCCACAGACAGCTACACCCTGAGCAGGGGTGTTGTGCTGGAGCATAACTATCCACAGACAGCTACACCCTGAGCAGGGGTGTTGTGCTGGAGCATAACTATCCACAGACAGCTACACTCTGAGCAGGGTGTTCACCTGAAGCCCTGAAGAGGGGGATCAGTCTACTCAGCCCAAACTTCAGAGGGATTCAGAGGGACCGCCTAATTAAAAATACCCAGAAGCTTGGGGAGGCAGCCCGCTCCTAAACCCATCTTGCTTGACACAGGAAGGAACATTCCCCATAACCTCTCTAGGTCACTGAAACACCCTGCATGTAGTCTTTGACCCCTTTTTGCCTCAGGTTATACAATATACAATATTATTTATGCCATACTACTATACAAAGCATGATTTGCATCTGCTAATGATTGTTTTTTGTTATTTTTCTCCCCTTCTCCCACCCCCCATGTTCAGAGGCCTGAAGACAGACAAGAAGTTGCTCGTGCTGGGCGTGAATTGAACCAGGAAGTGAATAGACTCATGGTGGCTATGAGGGACATGTTGGCTAACATCCAGTTCCGTGAACCTCAGTGGGAGAACAACCATGAAAGAGATGAGGAGGAATGGGACTAAAAGATCAAGGGTGTGATTTCTGAGCACTATGCACCACCCATGAAATTGAGCTACCATGTTTATTACACTGTGACAGTCAGCTGGAAACATTAGTTAAAAAAAAAAAACCTTCTGAATTAAAGTATGGTCAAAATGGTTTTAGTAATTCTGTTTTAGTAATGATTCAATGTTTACTTTAAGGCTTCATGTTTGGGTAAGGGGTTGGATATATCCTGTCTGAGGGTGAGGTACACTTTATAATGTTAAAGGTTGATAATTTCTATAGACGAAATTAGTTCATTACAGAAATTAATTTCTATAGACGGACATGACATCTTCAACTACAGCAGGTCAGATTTTCAGAACCCTGGCAATGGTATTTCAGTGTTGAATATTATAAGATATCAAACAGACATGCTGATGTATATAGCCAAGGGTATGTAATATATTCAAAATTCTGTAAATGGGCACTAATTGAAGACAGAGTTGATTTAATCTTGTGAGGTAATAAAAAATGGTTTTATTCCATATTTAGTGTTTGGTGTGTACCAGACCCTGTTATATCCCATGCAAAAATATGTTGTTAAAGGGATAGTTCACCCAAAAGGGGTAGAGCCCTGCACGGGCCTCAGATTTAGGCCCGAGATGCTCAGGCCCTAGCCCGGCCCGTGTCCGACAGCTCATCAGAATTACCGGCCCGAGTCCGACCCAAGCCCGTCTCCCAAAACAGCTTATACTACTGTTCCAGCTATTAAAATAGTTCAAGTTCAATAGTTTTGTATGTAATGGCAAAGTGATTATATTCTGTTTGGTTTTTTTTATTAAGTTAATTTAGAAAACCGTTTGGAGCATTTTTTGTTCGTTAAATAGCCTATAAGTTTTTGTTTTTTAAAGTAACGACCAAGCAGCCAGCGGCAGACAGTGAACCTATGTTTGCTCAATTTAGCCTTCTCGAATCATCACGACTTGCCTAAAATAAAATATATAGATATAAAACAGTTCAAGCATATAACATTGTTTAAACGTCAAACCTAGATAAATGTGCGCTGTATCCAATAGTTTGTGCGGAGAGTGCAAGCTAAAGCGTGCTTTGCAGGACATGGAGGCGCCAGCGCGATCACTTGCATTGTTTTCAATGATACGTCATTTTTACTCATAAAGATAAAGGTTAGAGTAATACATCATTCGTAAACTGTAAAGGGTCTACTTATATTCGTGTGCACTCACAATATCAACAAAACGTTGTGCTTTTATAAAATAAAGAAAACAAACATGATGCACTTTCTGCCATCTCGTCATGGAACAGGAGCGCTTCACAAAAATGAACCGAAACTCAGCGAATACATGCTTCACAGACATGATAAATATATCTATAGAAAGCTTTAAATTACTACTTAATGAAATAAAACAAATCAAAAACAAAAACTCATTATAATATTTCATTATAATCATAATCCATAAAGATGTACTTCTCTAAAGGCTCGTCTAATGAAGAAGTGGCGAGTCAGGATCGACAATTGAATCTTTGCGACACGGACTCAGAAAACACTATTTATTAGAAAATAATTCAAATATCTCCATCCTCTTTCCCCCTGACACATTTACAGTAATTATGGATGCTGTGCGGCAAGCTTAAGCCTATTGCGTGCATTTGAACGCAGATCTCTTCAGCTGCGCTGCATGCATGCTGCTGCTGCTGAACACTAAACACCGTCGAGCCGCTCTTGACAGCACGGTCTCATGTTGTTTCCACCAGCGCGGCAATTCTTTCATCACTAATTGATGGATATCTAAAATATAAAAATAAGGAGAAGCCTAAAACAGGCACGAGGCCCAGACGCGTCTGATCTATGACGTGAAAATTGACCCGAAGCCCGGCCCAAGGGGTGTAAAAAAGTCAGGGCCCGTTGGGCCCGGGCTGAAATGCAGGGCTCTAAAAAGGGGAGTGCCTAGGGAGTGAGGGGTGCCTCAGGGCTCAGTTCTTGGACCACTTCTCTTCTCTGTCTACATGGCATCACTAGGTTCTGTCATTCAGAAACATGGCTTTTCATATCACTGCTATGCTGATGACGCTCAACTC